CTGAGAAGTCACAAGCGACACCGGCACAGAAGTCACAAGTGACACTCGACAGAAGTCACGAGCGACCCCTCTACCGTTAACAATCCTTCGAGCATCGGGTTCAAAGGAACACTCCTGGCAAACTCGGGCTGAACCCCTCATTCTTTAGACCCTAAACCCTAAACCCTTATAAACCCTAAACTCTTTAGACAAGCCAGTCTTCACGCCGCGGGATCCGAGAAAGGGCGAAGAAGGCTCTGGGTCAGCGTGGGTCGCATCTTACTACTTCGGGCTTAGGGTTTAGGGTTAAGGGTTCAGGGTTTGGGATTTAGGGTTCAGGGTTTAGGGTTCAGGGCTTGGGAATTAGAGTTCAGGGTTCGGGTTACAGGGATTATGGCCTTGGTTCGGGGTTAGTTAGGGTTTGGGGTTCCGGAAGTCTTGCCCCTCACGTGGGGCCTGTGGCGGCCCGCACTATTATAAGGGTACAAATCCTATTTTGTGTCTCCTCCTTCTGCCGAGACTCCAGGACCTTGTGGTGTTCGGACTGAACCCTCACTCTCCAGGTACCTACTAGAGAGGGTGCTAGGGCCCCTAGGGCCCTAGATGGTAGGTACCTGGAGGGTTAGGGTGAAGGCTTTCGAAACTAGAGCACTAAACTTCAGAAATCCCAGAACTGCAGAGTCGGTTAGAAACATCTGATTCCTCTCTAGAACCCTCTGAAACCCCTAAGCCCTAGAAAGGAACCCTAAAGCCCTGTTGTCCATTCGAAAAACTGGTTTTCAGTTGAGGCTATATTAAAATGATCATCTATTATCCTTATTGGATTTTAGTATAACTATGTAAACTTGTAGACGACAAGGACCCAGAAAAGAGAGAGTCTCCCATTGGGGCCTTGTTGACGAGCAGCTTTCCCAAGCCTCTCTGCATGGAGGCGAGCGCGATCTGCCTGGCACTCACGGCTTAGGGTGTAGGGTTCAGGCTGGAGGGTTCCGGCTTCAGAGTTTAGGGTTCAGGGTTCAGGCTTTGGGGTTCAGGGTTTAGGGTTTAGGCTTTAGGGTTCAAGCTTTAGGGAGGTCTATCCGTAAAGAAGCGAAAAAGGCTCTACAGAAGGGTTCTATAAGGCTCTAGGGTTTGATAGGGTTCAGTTCAGGTGTCTACAAGCATCCTTTAAGAGAGCCGTTATGGTCCTTCATAGTGAGTATGTAGCCTATAATCGGGGCGTCTAGCCAGCGGTTTATCAAAACCTTCTGTGACATTCAGGAGTTAGGAAGGAGGGAGTGAAACCTCTCTTTCAGATGGGTCGCTGGGACGCTGCCATGGTAGCTGCATGGTATTTATAAGCCGCATCTCATCTCAGATCGAAGTAGCAGTGTTAGAGTTACATTGTGTATGGCTTGAACCCTATAAACCCTATACGCATTATAAGCATCCTACACCCCGTAGAATCCTGAATCTTCAGATGCTTCCGGGATGCGTGTGCGCCAAAGGCACGCCCACGTTGCGCAGCACCGTTGAATCCTGTACACGAGGACATTCTCGGATCGGTACCATACCCATAGGCTCCTAAGTAGTTCCTTTTTGCGGTTTATATATTTAGAAAAACGGAACCACTAAGGAGCCTATGGGTAGAGCAGGCTTCCTTTAAGGGTTTGCGAACCCGTTTTTTGCAGGTTAGTTAGAGATCCATGATTCATCAGTATGGGTTTAGGCAGTGTTAGTCAAGGCTCTTGCTGCTAAGACCCGTTCTACTCTAATCTTATGCTGGCTCTGTCCGTGAGCCTGCGAGAGGAACAGTAGGGCTACAAAGCCTTACCAAGTGCCATGAAAACCGCAACCCTCAACAACCCTAAACCTAAACCCTCAACCCTAAACCCTAAAAACACCCCGGTCGCCCCAAACCTGGAGCACAAGAAAAACACCCTGATGCTCAAAAGAAACAGCCTAAACCCTGAGCCCTAGAGGCCCTAAACGCCGTGAGCCATAAATCCTGAACATCCTAAATCAAGGAAGCACCCCTAAACCTCAAATCCGATGCACAGCACCCCTAAACCTGAAATCCGACCCCAAACCCTATAAACCCTAAACCCCTAAACCCCTAAACCCCTAAACCCTAAACCCGAAATCCGATGCACCCATAGACCCTACACCCTGACCCCAAACCCTACCGAAGCAGAGACGCGTTGCAGCCAAGAGGCCGTCAGATCTCGTTGGAGCCGCGAGATCGGCAACTTCTGGGAAAGGTGCTCGAACATCGCCTGGGGTGGCTTTAGGGTTGAGGGCTTATACGGTTTTAGGGTTGAGGGTTTGCACGGTTTTTAGGGTTGAGGGTGTTTATACGGTTTTGGGGTTTTGGGCTTGGGGTTGAGGGTGTATA